AAGATGTCCAGTAACAGTTCTAGAATTCCAAAATTTTATACGAGTGGCTTTATGTGAAAAATGCTTGTATTCATTGAAGAGTTTAAAACCGTACCTTCATTGTATAAGCATGTTTGCGCAAGCTAGGTTTTGTTAAATTGAGCTATTACCAAACCAAGTTATTGGTTGTTACTCTTACATGCCTATCCTATAACACTAAATAGTTTCAATATCCTAATTTTAGGATAATAAGTTATGGAAAAAATATTTAATACTTGGATGTGTCTAAATGTGTTATCAAAAAATGAGAGATCAATTTTTCTTTTTTCTTTTTTCTTTTTCCTTTCCTTTATTTTTTTCTGCATTGGAAATACATTTTGTAATTTTTGTTTTTCAAAATATTACAGAGTATCTTTTGTCATTTTTTGGACAAGTTTAGAATTTTTGGTTGGTGGTTAACTCTGGATTCTTGCTATTAATTTCCAGATCTGTTGAGGATCCTGTTAAAGACAGTACTTGGGAGTAGCCTTTGATTTTACTGAGAGAAGAAGAAGGTTAGTCAATACCTAATGCACTTGAGATTTTGTTGATTTGTGCTGTTTGTTCCTAATTCAAATGTAGTTTAATTTTGTTGGTAATTGCTTCTTTTTTTTCTTTCTTTCTTTCTGATTACAGTTTCTTTCTTTAATGCTATTGATCTGGTGTCTTTTGTTGATTGGTCTTGTTTGAGTTGACTGAAATATGAAATAAAAAAAAAAGTTTTAAGGATATTTTTCAAGTTCATTGTGGTAGCACTATCAAAAAGTGTTAAAATCTTGCCTTCAAAATTCAAAACACCTTGACCTTGTATGTATGTGTGTGAATAGTAAGCAAGCCTAGTGGCTTTTTTTTTTTGGGCATTGCTATTTTTCATCTCCTAATGTTGTTAATTTAGGTAAGCTAATAAATACGTTGGTGATATGATTTTTAGTATTGTGTTTCTAAGAGCATCTTGTTCTTTTATGGACAAGATTTTTGGCATAGAGTTAGTTATATAAAATCTTTACCCAAATGACATTGTATCTTTGTTGTTGAAAATGACATGGTATCAATTATCTCCCTAATTGTCATTAAATTGCAATTTCACGAAATTCCATTGTCTATGTTGATTCTCATATGCAAGGAGGAAACCTTAAATAGTCATCAAATAGGAACCAAAATTCACTTTGGATTTCAAGAGAAGTAGAGGAAATGCCATTGTGTCAAAAAAGCTATGCATCTTGGTTGATAATCCCAAGTTCACATACAAAAATAAAACAAAAACACAAACTCAAGTTCTCGAACACAATTGGGAAAAGTAAATATGCATAGCAGTTAATAATAGAGTTCTAACTAATAAAACTATCTTACACCTTAATGGCATGCTTCCTTATGGGAAAATACATCTCTCTCTTCTTCTCCCTTTTCGTCTTCAATGATAACAAACCAAAACAAAAGAAAAAAAAAACCCCATATTTAAATAAGACTGAATTATTCCATAAAGGGAATAATTATACCTGACAAAAGCATACAATAGAGGCATTTGACAAATGTTCTCAAGGTAAATCCAGTGTTCCTCATTCTCTCTGATGAATCCAATACTGAACTTGGAATTCCAAGCCTGCAGTTCTTGCAAAATTTCAGTCAACGACTTGATTCTTATCTGCATGCAGACCATATATGCTTTCACATCCGAATTCAGAAGTGTGTTTGAGGGTCATCACCTGTGGAATCTAGGGCTGTGGCAAGGCCAGCAGTTCCTACTCCCACGATCACAATGTCTTCCAGAGTTTCCATTGTATTGGGATTGGTTGTTGCTGCTGCTGCAAACTTGATGCTATAGGACTAGATCCAGTACCTGCAGGATCAGAAACAAGTAGGAAAAGGGCAATGGCTGCTTGATGTCAATGAGTAACTGGTACTTGTATATTCTTGAAAACTTACTTTCCTAAGACACGAAGAGAAAATGTTATAAGAGATAAAGGCATCTGCAGATCCTCCTTTTTTTTTTTGGGGTTTGGACTATCAGGTGTCCCCAGATTCATGCTATCTGAAGGTGCACTGGCCTAGTACATTTGAAGAAATTAATTTACTTGATGGTAGTCAAGACTTAAACCTTGAACATAAACTCATTGCTACATTAAAAATTAAGTAAACTCAATGACTAATGGAGTAGGTTAGTCTGAGGCAATAATTACTTAAGAAGATTATTTTACTAGTCTATGATGGCAAATGATAATCTGTGGAAATAATTAAGTATTTCGATTGAATGCAGCTGGACTCTGTATCATGTGGTCTTTAAAATGAAGGTTTTTTAAATATTGCTAGTTGAACGGCAAAAGGCTGATTAAAGTTGTTGCTTATTGCTTGTCCTTGGAATCAATCACCAACTTTTTTTGAGCTTATTGTTCCTATGTTTTCTTTATTCCCTTCAAAATTTCTAAATATCATCTACTGTTATTACAGAGGATAATATATCAGGTTATACTGCTTTTCAAATGCCAAAATGCATTTGGTTGAAGTTTCTGACTTGCTTTCAACGCATACACAAACCAAAGAAGAATGCCAAACAGCGTATTAATAATGTCCAAGGGCTTTGGTTTAAAATGTTTTACAAAGCAAAAACATAGTTTGAATTCAAAAGGGTTCATCTTTGGGGCTGAGAATCACCACCACCTTCACCACCACCACACTATTCAATGGAGATCTTACAGAAACTAGCTTCTATCATCTTACCCAGCAGAGTGGCTTCTGCATTCAAAATCGTAGAAACTGCTAAATCAAAGGTCTTCACCCTATCTAAAACCTGAATGAATTTGAACTAATGAAGCAGTGGTAGGATTCTGTAACTTACAAGTTTCTTCTTCTTTTTCTTCTTCTCAATGCAGGCAACAAGCTCCTGTTGTTTCACAAGCACGTCCTCAAGCAGCTACACAAAGAAAACCAGATGCAAAAACCATAGCATTTAGTTATCTGTTTTAAGGAATTCTTCTTCTCTTTGAGAATTGAAATCTAGATAAGTCTAATGAATTACCTTCCCTGTTGCTGACAGCTCTTGTTCCAGGTTGTTGACCCGGTTTAAGGCAGCAGCCAGCATCTCCTCTCTATCAGGTGGCATGGCTGCTTGTTGCCTGTTGAAAACAACACTCATCTTCTCTTCCAATTCAGCCACGCGCTTCACCATGGAAATGTATTCAGAGCTGGAGGCAGACTTATCAGCACTACCATTGATTGTTTCAGAATAACAAGTGCCATACAAGGCAGCTTCAGTGAGTTTCCTGGGCACATTCTTTGACAGGCGAACCATAGTGACAATTCCCATAATCAGGGCCATAAGTCCACCAACAATCCTGTTTCCCTCGGGAGCCCTTCTATCATCTGCAGTTTTCATCAGAGGTAGACAAAGAAGATCTTTTAGACTCTTTTTTGGCCGGTGAAGATCATTTATATTAATTAAATCCGAAATTTCAATGAATTAGCATGCGGTAAAAGTTTTATATATACCCGTAGGAAGTTGCTTAATAAGTGAAGAACCATCTACAACCTTGTCAGCTACTGGAAGCTTTTCATTGTCAAAAGAATCGAAGCACATATTGTTCTTGTTAGCCTGCAATTTATAAAGATGCAATACTTTTGTTAAGTGATGAAGAAATCCAGAAAGCAGAAAACTTTGCAGGGAATCAGAAAGCAGCAACTGTAATATTTGATCTATTGATTCAAATACAGAAGTCTTACTTCATTAACAGGAGGAAAAAGTGATGGATATTCCACATGCGTATCAGCAGCTTCACTTCTCTTCATGTCCGGTAAATCAAAGAAGTTAGCATTTAATCATCAAAGCATTTGTCAATGTAAATAGGAGAGATTACCTTAGATGATTTCTCATCTTCAGAGATTGCCTTCTCTTCAGCGCCTGTAGAAAATCTCTTTGGGTTTTTAGCCACGCCATTACGAATTTTCTGCCTCATCAAACAAAATTCTTGTTGAATCATCATCCCTAACATGTTTAACAATAGATGTAACATCAAAAAACAATCATTTTTTATTACCTTAATTACTTCTGGATCATTCCATAAATTTAAGTATTCAAAAAAAAATTTCATATAACAAAATAGAGAATACAAGCAGCATAAAAGGATATATAAAAGGATATTAATATAAAAGGTAGAGATATAAATAATTTTTTATACAATTTTTATGTTTTATTAAATTAATAATTACACTCAATATAATAAATTTTAAATAAATAAACAAATAAAT